TTCACCCCTCCCACCAGCCTTTACACCGCTTACAAGAAATGCCACCAGTTCTTTTAAAAGCCATGAATGGAGCATTCATGTAGAGGCCTGCCAGTCCTTTAAACTGTAGTGTCAATCTCTTTTCACATCACATCAAATAAACATGTGATGCAGCTGAATTATGGTTTGTAAAATGCTGGTCATGACATTGTATACCTATGTTATCTGTATATATGCAGATATGATAGTTCCTGTCTTGTCATGTTTAATTACTGTATTTATTATTTTACTGTTTTGTTGCATTGCATCTGATTGATTCCATGCTATCAGCTATCTGAGAATGTACTATAACCTGTATTTTATTTTTGTGTGTATTTAGGGACGACAGATGAAAATGTGCTCTTTTGGCTAAATCTGCCATATTTACAGAAATGTGGTTAATAAGTTTTAATTGAGATTAAACAAGATTTGAATCTGTTAAACACTTCAGAGTTTGACTTTCAACAGATCTGTTAAACAACCCAAAATGATGACACAAATCTTTGATTTCTGTAGAAATAAAACAGAAACATACAGAGTGGTCATGTGTTAACCCGTTTTGACCTCCCGCATCCACATCTTACCATGAATGACTGTAGCAGAAAATCTATTATATTACACTAATATCTATGTTTTGAATATCACACATTCACTGTAGGCTTGAAAAGTGACTCTCAAGGTTTGTAGCTTCGAGCAGCTGTGAGAAATACTTTTATCACAGTATACCACCAAACACACAGTTAAGAGGGTGGGAATCTAGGATTTAGACTTGCCAGGTATCCAGACACTCAACTCCAGGTGAATAATGTTGTTCTGTAGCTGCCGAATGTGTAAGTAGACAACTTGTTTCTGCTGCTCCTAAGTGGAAATGAAATCATTAATTCAGGTCCAACCAGTTTGTCACAAATAGCAGCTGGAAATGTGTGCAATATGTTTGCACGTTTTTCATATTTTGTATTGCTTGAATAATTTGTAATGTTTTGTATTGTGTTTAATTTTGATCTTTGTTTTCCTTCACCACAATAACTCTCTCCAGCTAAATGTATTATATGGTATGATTATTATATTAAGATGACTGGTAAAAAAACAGAAGGCATTTCTAAGATTTTAACTGAACAACAAAGGTGTCCTTGAGACAGTTTTAATTCAAATAAGTATTATTCAGGTGATACCAGATTTATACATCACTTGAACACAGTAACATTTGTTGATAAACTGTTACATAGCTGAAGGTTTAGTATTGTTGCATCCGGTTCTTTTTACCATGCTAACTCTGAGAGACGAAGCAGTCCAAGTAACTTCAAAACAGTGCTGATTTATTCAATGAACACAGGTAAAAATTAACATTACACGCTTCTTGATAAACTGTTACATAGCTGAAGGTTTAGTAATCAACTCACACAGTTATCAACACCCATGAACAAGTTCCTACTATAGTCTAAAACATGTTAAACAGGAAAATCCAGAGGGACTGTGAAGATTTCCAAGGAGTCACAACAGATAGTCACTGTGCTGCAGTCCCACATCAGAAAGTCAGATCTCTTTAGGCAACAGCAGTTTCATAGTCCGAAAAATTTCCATATAGCATTGATTTTAGACCAGCTCCAGTCTTCCCCACCATCACAATCCCAAGCTCCTTCTTACTGTATGTTTGGTTCTGATGGGGAGAAGAACCTAATAAGTTTTTAGAAAATGACAGAATGGTACACACCAAAAGGTATATGCTGAACACGGTGCTGAACATGGCAGAACAGGCAGCACTCTCTCTGGATGCTGCACAAGCAATAGCACTGTGCTCTGCTCTGATTTTACAAAGTTCAGATAATATAATAATCACAATATAAAGTGATGTAATCTGTTTTGCACACAAGTACTTTTCCTGAAATTGACTGAAGTAAATGAGTAGAAGCCATATATACTTTTTAAAAGATATATGTAAGACGTGTTCGTTTCCAGCCGCTGTCCTCATACCTGTTCTGTGAACACGTGGAGGAAGGAGGGATGTCAGAAATAAAGAGAAAACTGAAATATGGAAAAGGAGTTCACCTCCCATGTCAGGTTCCTTTCCCACCATGTTCAGGATGCAGAGCAGAGAGCCGATGTGCTGTTTGGGATTGGGATTGGGATTGGGATTGGGGGGTACTCTTATGGTTTCAGCATGGGTTTTCACCTTGTAATTAGTGATGTTTAAGAGTATAATGATTAACAAACCATAAAAATGGTAAATGAGAAAATTATTTTGATTGATAACTAGCATTAAATTACTAACAATTTTCAGACAGTTGCATCAGAAAACACTTTAGACAAAATGTTTACCCATCATATGCACTAAAACTGTTGTCACAAGAGATGTGAAAAATGCTGAACCACTGGGTGGAAAAAGGACAAGGCCTATGGGACAAGAACCCTTTAAAATCCATGAGAAAAAGAGGAATAGCTTGTTCAGCTCTCACAAAGCTTCATTCATCAAACCACACCTGTGTCACACTGTTGACAGCGAAGCACAGTGCGATCTGGGTGTGTAGTTCAAGCACTGCAGGTTTCTTTTACTTTACTTTAAAAGGAGGTGATGTCTAGGTTTCCCTTGACTGTAATTGATCCTAACATTCATCCCAACACAACACAACCCTGACCAGTTACCTCTGCCTTCTCCCAAGCAGTGGTGGAAAGTAAGTACATTTAGTCACATACTGTACTAAAGTACAGTTTAGAACTATTTTTACTTAAGAGTATTTTCAGTTTCTGCTACTGCACATATGGACTTCACTACATTTCAGATTCAAACATTATACTTTTTACTGCTCTGTTTGATAATGTTGGTTCCTTTTCAGAATCAGATCAATCAAACAAAAAGCAGTAGATTCATCAGACTTTATTGATCTCCAGTGGGAAATTCACCAGCTACCTGGTAGTAGGTAAAGTACTCCACAGTATGAGTATATACATTAAGTTAGTTAACATCGGCTCCACCTTTACCAGCTGCAACATTAAAGAGACAAACACAATAATTAATCAGTTGGTATGATCTAATATAAATGTGTGTAAATCAAATATACATTAATGTAGAATGTACTTCAAGTATACTTTGATTGACAGTTTTGCACTTTACACAATTTTTAATGTAGAACTTTTTTGTATTTTTACACTGTTTGCTTAGGTAATGGATACGAGTACTACTTCGAAAACTGTTCAAGTCTTGGGATTTCACCTTTATCATAGTGAAAGTAGTGGTTTTACTTGCAATTAAATGTTTTTTTGTTTTTTTTTAGTTTGGTGCCATCTGTTGGTAGAACGATGCCATATGACAGCGTGGCACAGACAGGGGTGCATGCAGCCTCTGTATTATTGATGGAAACATGACCATTTGCCACCACTGTGTAAAATCCATTTGATTCAAGGCATTTTTCAAGTTCCCAAAATTGACCCTGACAACAGTTCTTCCGACTCTCCTAGGCTAATCATGTTTGAATAACAAAACTTGTTTACTTACAAACATTCAACCATGTACCAGGTTCAGTTCATAGTCGGTGTTAACATCTTGACTTGACACAAGTCAAGTCAGTTTTACTTGGATGTGATTTTGGATGAGAAGTGTTTTACAGGCCAACATCACCAACAGTTATTGACACAAGATCTCTAAAGACAACTAAAAACGCTCACAAAACAATTAGAATGAGGAAATGTAATGACTTTCTCTGCAGATACCTGGGGTTCAAATAAATAGTTTGGGAAGCACTCAGGGGCATATCAAGCCTTTTAAAAGTGTGGGGGATGAGGTTTGTCTGGGGTGGGGGGTATCTGAGCAAGACTGAACGCAACTAAAGGTGTTTTACCCCTCTTATTTATGGAATATAAAGTTTACCTACCTCTAAATAGAGTTGGCACCAAATTCATCCAGAATATTCAATATTCTGGTTGCTATCTTTATCAGCGCAACACAGTTATAGCTTAGTGTTTCTGAATTACACTGCATTATCTACATTTTATACCCAACCCTGTAAGAGCCATTTATGCCACTCACTCATATTGTTACAATTTACCCACCTCTTTTTCTGCACAGCCCTAATTCTTAAGTTGAAGAAATAAATTCTCTGCTATTCTGAAAAAAAAGTCAGCTACAAATTGAAACTCTTGTGTAATATGATTTTAAATATTTTTATTTAAACAATAAACCGATGAAGTTTAACCTCTAGAGTCCCTGCGTCCTCATATGAGGACCGCACAGCTTGGGTTTCCAAAGCTCAGGACTCTAGAGGTTAATGCTTAAAGCATTGTTTATAGTTGGTTACAACTGCACAAAAATGTTGGATATTGCCAACATAGCATGAAAACCAACTGGCCTGAACATTTAACGTTAAATATATGAACATTTGAACTTTCACTCAGTTCAATTAAAAAAACCAAAAGTGCTCTTTCTGTTTTCCTTACATGCGACAAACTGATTAGCAATCATTTTTCTGTTCACCCTATCCAGCTCATCTTTATGTACATGGCACACAGCAACACTGTTAAGGTGGGTTTGGGTCATGGTGCTGCGTAGCCATGTTTTCAGCCTCCAGAGTCTGCTGAAACTCCTTTCTGACTGTGCTGATGACACAGGCACAGCTAGGAGGAGACGAGCAACTGTTTCATCTTGGTCAAAGAAACCACGAACCTCTGGGCTCATACCTTGAAGAATAGCAACTATGTCAGAGCTAGACTGGAAGCTATACTTCATTTTAAACATTGGAAGTTGAACTCTGAGGATGTTAATTTCTGGTTCACAAAAACAGTATGAGGCATTTTAATCCTAAATATATTCATTGCTCACCTGTGAATCCCTGTGTTCCCTCTGAAACAACTAAGGTCTCTGGCAACAGACCTACAAAAGCAGGGTGCAGCATTAAAGAATAAGACTTAAATTTCAGCCTCAAAATTTGCCTCCCTTAATGCCCACCTACAGAACATTAAGAAATAACTTACAAGAAATCTTTTGAAAAAGGTGTCAATCTTCTGCTGCCTTTTCCTTTCCTGCATCTTAATGCTTCATGGCAAAAAGACAGTGGTAAGTGGTAGCTAGCTCATACAGCACTGATAGACTGCTTAAAAAAATAGTCTTCTTGCGCTAGCCTCATGCAGCTC